CCTACTTGGGGGGGGGGGGCTATTCATAGCCCCCCTCCTAACTCCGAAACTACTGGGCCGATCGTCAAAATTCAAACGGCGTCTGATAGCCCCGGAAAAACTATCGAGCGAAACCTAATTTTATTGACTTCGAGGTAACCGATGACGTCACAGGTCAGGTCAAAGTAAAAATTATTAGCATTTTGGCTTGTTCACGTTTTGGGCTCTGGCCGCCGTCTTACAAGTCAGATCAGGCTCATTTTTTGGTTCACACACTCGTGAACAGATGTTCTAGATACCCTGAGGGTACCAAACTTGTACTTTGATTTTCAGGTCTAGGTCAGGTAACGAAAATATTATATCATGCGTCGGTCACGTGACACATGTTTTATGGTCCATTTAGGCCCATGATTTCGAAGCTAGAAATGAGAGGTTTTCTCGCATAACTTTAGAAGTAGCCAAGCTAGGAACAAAGTAATGGCACCATCGTGATCCTCTCGTCAATCCGCATCGAACCATATATGTGTTGACCTCAAAAGGTCGAGGTTGACCTCAGGTCATCATGTATATCATTCGATGCGCCTTGACGAGTTGAACACAATGCGACCATCCGCGCGGCTGTATCTTGTTCCTGTAACAAGTTGTTAGCAAAAAAAACTTTGGTGACCCTTGATGACGTGACATGACCTTACAGCTGACCAAGAGCAAAAAGACCTCAAGGTAGATCCTATATGAAGTCATTGATGATATGCCATTCCGAGGCGTTTTAGGGGGAAAACCCTAAAGGGGGGGGGGGGTTGATTTTATTGACCTTAGGTCATCGATTTCGAAATTCCGAGATATACAAATTGTAGCCATCTATAACCTCATAACATCCTACGACTGTCAAAGGCCTACGTCATCTACCGTAGCTCTGACACGGTGACAAGTTGCAAAAAAAGTGATTTGAGGTTGGGTCATTCGAAGTGCCCTGACCTTAAGAGGTTCAAACTTGCACACCATGCCTCGGCCAGTGTAAAAACTGGATGATCACACTTCAGTATCTCAGTAAGGTCACCTTGACAGGAAATAAGCATAACATTGTGGTGAGCATTTGGCGGATTCAGGAATGTTGTTTGGCGCATTTATCCCACTCAGAGCTTCCGAAATTGACGGTTTTTCTTCACAAAAAGATAACTACACCACGTTTAAAAGATAAGGCTGGCTATAGAATACAGAGCATTGAATACGAAAGCAAAAGCTAGCCAATGATCCACGTCTATAATGGCACCTAACAATAGCACGGGGCAACACTTTGCGTTGAGGTCTGTTCCGATTAGTTTTGGCCACAGGTCGTTTGATGGTGAGGTTTGGTGAGGTGGTTTGGCATGGATGTGCCAAACCACCTCACCAAACCGGATATGCGCCGTCTTTGCAGATATCTCTGGCGGCCGATTCTCGAGTAACCGGTAGACGTGGTGTGTGTCGAAATTTGGTGTGATTAGTGATACCCTAAGGCCCTATTGAAATAACGCCCACTCACAGGTGTCAGCTTCTGGCTCCTCGTCCCAGTCCTCCGTTCCTTCGCCCTAGCCCGCCACTTCCGAAAGCCTTGCTGTAGGCTTGTCGGAGAAGCGCATTCGATAGCCCTTTTACCATACCTTTCTGAGTGATAGCCTCCAGAGGGCAAAACTGTAAAGCTTTCACGAAATGGTTTTTGGGTAATAACTTTTGATTCGAAATTCGCCACGAAGTTACTTTTGCTAGCATGGTGTTCCTGTCGTCGAGACACGTCAAATCCTTAAAGGTCATTTTGCTGACCGGAAAGGGTCATGTTGCATATCAGTCGATTCGTATCGTAGCTGAATACATCTGACGTGTTTTTATCGCTTTAGCATGTCTCTATCAAAAGTTATAGCAAAAAAAAAGTGCTGGTGAGTCCGAGGAGATCGGAGATCCAGGATCTGCAAGAGGGATCCAGCACTTCAGGTTTTGCCGAGGGATCCAGGAATCTGGTCATCATTTTGTCTGGATCCTGGCTTTAGATTTGGACCTTGGAGATCTTGGATCCAGGTTTTGGATTTGTCGAGGGATCCTGGGGATCTTTGTTTTTTTTTTAACAAATATTTTACACATCAGTCTACCATGATTAAATGCCTACCAAACCCAATGTGCAAAACATTAGCATGTACAACTGTTAAACTCACTTTATACTGGAAGGAAGACATACTCTAAAAAAGCTGCTCAAGGTTTCAAAGTACAGGGATGTTCACGAAAAACTGACACATTTTAAAACGACTTTGTGAGCATGTGAGAGCTCACGGAGACTTGATTTGCATGCCATTCGAAAGCCTGTTGAAAAAAGTGTTGTATGTGCATAGCGCCTTTAGGTAGCATCACACGAGTTTTCAAATAAATAAGAGAGCGTTAAAATGGGGAAATTTGACTTGGCGACAAAACTTAGCGGAAAAGCAATGAAGCTCTCGCGGCTACCATCTGCCACCACGACTGAACCAGTCCACGAATTCGTCTAAAATTTGGCATATTAATGTTTCGATGGATTTTGTTTTATACTTTTGGCAAATTCCTAAGGAATGCCAAAATTGGCAGGCTTGGAAATGCTGATGCCAGAAACCATGGCCGCATGCTGGCAGTCACTGTAGAGTGGTACCGTGCCATCTTTTAACGGCTTCTGTTAGCTACTGTAGCGGAAATGGGTCGACGTCTACACCATTTGGTGGTTCTGGCACGTCAGGGCCACCACACGTACAGTAACCGCGATCATCGGTCTCACACGAGAACAGGGGGGAGGGGGCATTGTCTCGCGCATCACCTCTCACCCATAGCCGGCCATTTCGCTCTACCTCAACACCGTGGACTATTCCTGTGGGGTCACGTGAGTGACATGGTCTGTAGCAGCGGCCCAAAGGACATCAAAACTCCCGACGAGTGCAGTGAGAGGTGTTGCAATTCTTCAGGCACGTGCCCAAAAAGGGGGATAATTTCCTGTTTCGGGCTGAGTCGTGCACTGCTCCAAAAACTCGTCATCTGCAAAATACGCTGAAACTTCTTAGAAACGAAAATGACATATTCCCAAAATATGTCAATAAAAACTTAGAAGTCCACTCTATTTGCACGTAGCATGATCACCGTGCTGAGGGCAAGTGTTTTCTCGTAATTCGGAAATAAAATGTGTCAGTTTTTCGTGAACATCCCTGTATGTGTCAGCATAAACACAACTTAGACTTAGTGGGCCGTAATATCATCTGGATTAGGTGTTTGCCAGTTAGCGTCGCAGAGCTTGTGATATATCAATGATAGATACAATGTTTGGTCGGTATCAGTTTGGCATTGGTTTCGAAAATTTCTTAAATTTACATCACAAACATGTTCATCAAAAATTTCTTAAATTTACGTCACTAGCATGTACATGTCCATTTAGTGCTTCTCCAGGCAAATAACATATAAATAATCCTAAAATTATGATTGTGCATTGGATCTTGGATTCTACAATTTTGATATTGTTTGGGATCTTGAAAGTTTGATCTAGCGCTGGATCTTGAACCCTGAAATTTTGATTTTGCGTGGGGTCCTGGATCCTGAAAGATCTTGATTTTTGGTCGAGGCACAAGTCTGCTGGTGACCGTTCATGACCTCGGGCACACAGATGCACTGACCTTGAGAGCCCTGGTTCTGAAATGTTTACAACATGTGCGGAAAAATGCATGAACCCTAGGGTGTTTCATTACACTATGGTAAAATAATGTTGGTTCAAAACTCAGCCATATCGACTTTGCCCCAACTCTACCCGTAAAACTGAATCGATTGATACGCTTGAAACCCAAATTTAAGTATATTTAGGGGTCGCACACTTTTGTCACCAAAACTCATTACACAGAGAAGGGGGCACATCCTTCCTTGGTGCGCTTGGGCAGCGCCTTCCGGTTGAGTTCCACGACTCGCAGGCCATCGTTGTTAGGGCCCTGCCGCCCTCAATAGACCGTTGCAGAGCCCTCAGATGCCAGCATAGCCCCCGCAGCGTGGTTGTGTTGGGGCCCTCAGAGGCCGTCGCTGGGCCGCCTGAAGCCAAATGGGCCCTCAGACTTGAGTTGGGTCTAGGGCCATCACGAGGGCCCTCAGAGACCGTCGTAGAGACCCTCAGGGGCCAGTGGGGCCCCTGGAGTCCTGTGGGACCCTCAGCGGTCGTCATGAGGGCCCTTAGTGGTCGTTATAGGGCCCCAGGGGACAGAGTTCGTCAGGTGGGAGCCCTCAGAGATCGTCATAAAAGGGCCCTCTGAGGCCGTCGTGGGGGCCCTCAGATGCCGTGTGGAGCACCAAACGCGGCTCGGGACACTTCTAGCCGGTGTGGAGGTCCCGACTAGCATGGGGCGCTCCTGACCATAAATAGACACCCCGGATGATTCCACATCAGTGTTCGTTTCCCGATCACTGGTTTTCAGGAGAAAATGTATTGGATGGTGCGACGGGCCCCTTGTATGGATTTTGGGGGTGCAAAAAAGATATGTTTGCACCCCCATGTTTTTCGATGAGGGTGCAGCTGCACCTCCTGCACCCCCTATTCCGCCGCCACTGCCTGGCTTTCTCAACCAAATCAGTTCGCAGGAAGACTACTCATGTTACGGCCAGAAACAGAATCAGAGATGAAAAGTCGCAGAAATGTGCGACCTCTAAACATCATTAGAATGAAGTGAAATTTTACACAGAAACTTGTGAGCAGATGACATTTGAGGGGAACATCGATATGACTCGCAATATGGCACTTTGAAAATGTGAAACACCCTAATGAACCCTTGCCAAAAACCGCAGGGGGGGGGGGTTCAAACAGCCCCCTCCACGGCCCGGATTAAGGGAAAATATATAATATTGTCTTGCTTGTACGTTTGGAGTAGTAAGTAGGTACGGCTCTCGCGAGATGAAGCGGTGGGTTTTCCACTTTTACATATGGCCGGCTTGTAAACCAACAAGTCGATCAAGGAGAATGGAAAATGTCCGATACTGACGTTCATTCTGTGTTTCCACAGGATGTCGGACGTTAGGTCATCGACCTGAGTAGCAGACGTTGAAGAACATTCAGAAATGGCCGCTGGTGTCGCCTGAAGCATCTCAGATGAGAAAGGGGCTGTCGTTGTTGTGATGTCTGAATAAATACATGTTTATTGGGAGGTGGGGAGTGTTGTGACGAGAAGGTGGGTGAAATAAACCCGCCCTCTCGTATATTGCCATGGGTAGTTGTGGATATTCAGGTTCAGGTCATGAAAGTATTTTAAAAAAATTAATTGGGAGGGGACCGGGGCATCAACTGACTGTCGCTGACCAATGGGTAGATGGGCGAGTTGTGCTACGATAGTACGATGCTTTGACGTGAGTGAATGTTTAGATTAGTAACCTAGTAGATTTAGATTAGTAGGATGCGGATTCTGAACAGTAATCGTCACGCACTTTAAGATTAAGAATGTGGATCACTCAATACAATGGTGACTACCAATAATTTCCTAATTTGTTTACATTACGATAAAGCACGTACGTATATAGCTAATCATTGTAATGATGAAAGTTGAGATACCACAATATTTTAATTATTGCATAATTACATCTTTAGGTACAGTATATAATATACATATAACATATTACAATTATATACATACAGCACAACATACTATACAGTATATATTACAATTCAATATAATATATTGTGTACAATTGTATATACGAATTATATTGCATATTTTTTGTATTAAATAGTTCATGTGAATACTACACATGAATATTGCAATACTATATTGGTATATACTAAATAAATATATAGTATAATTATGATACTAGTATTGCAATACTACTACTATAATTATAAATACTATAATACTAGTACCTATAATAATATAAAATTATATAGTATTACTATTAGTGTAATATTGCAAGTTTTTTGCCCCATACCACTCTATTTCCTATATTACACAATTTTTGGTGAATAGTGTATTGCATACAACATACCATGATTAACCACACTTGGATGTCCGATCCGATGATCCCCATCCTACCATTATGCTCCTCACATCACCACTTTCATAGCTTGGTACGCTATAACCAGGAGTGATTATCACCTCTTTCTCTCCCCACCCACATGGACAGGGGATCTCCGTGATTCTGAAAACTACCCATTGAAACATACAAGGCCCACGTCACAACACCCACGCAAAGGTGGGTTTATTTCACCCACTCTCTCGTTATAAAAGCCCAGACCCAACAGCTATAAATGTAAACGCAAACACCACCATCCCCCCCGTGAAGGATGTGTTTATTTAATATCACTCCCACGATAACACGCCACTTTCACCAACACATTTGTCATTATCACTCTGTTGCTGCTGGTTCTTGTTTGATGTTCTTCGATGATCTGATGCTTCTGGCATGGAAACAGCCTGTGGAAGAAGGAACTCAGTCAGAAATGATCTAATCTGCACATCACGACATGCTGTGCTTAGAAAGCTGTATTGTTTGTTTGTTTGTTTATTGAATAATCACCAACGGGCTTGCACCCAATGACAGGTGAAGTCGGACAGTAAAATTATAAAAACATAACTGATACACCGGACACCCCGACACTCACATGCACGTAAATCCTACCATTCGGAGGAGCTATGTACATAGCGCACCACCCTATTTTTGAAACCAGCTGTACCCTCCGTCCATACATCAACATCTGCGTTGCATCGGCTAGGAGCCGAGACGATCTAGCGGGCACTAAAATAGGCATATGTTGTAAAAGAAAGGGCGAGTTGATGACATGCCGAATAAATTAAATGTCATGCTGTGCGCGACGAGTCCCTACTTTGAAAGCACGTAGGAAATCATTATCACGCGACAACGACTACTCAGCCACACCAAGAAGTTGTGCTGAACGCGTTCGATCCTTTTCAGATGGGTATCAGCCGCTCCATTCCAAACAACGCTACAATATTCTAAAATTGATCGTACGTTGGCATTAAAAGAGCACATCACAGCCGCAGTATCACATTCTTGTAACGAGCGGCCACGCTTCCCTGTCTGAAAGGTTCTCGTTAGCAGTCCCAGAGCACTATTGGCCTTTCGCACTGTTGCGTCGACATGATTGGCGAAAGTAAGTTTTTCGTCCAACAGCACACCTAGGTCTCGCACAACAGACACTCTCTCTAGCACCGTTTCTCCAACAATAGGGTTACTACGCAACGAGAGAGTCAAGACTTTACATTTCGCAGCGTTCAGGCTGAGACCCCATCTTGTTGACCATCTGCATAGGCTGTCCAACTGATGTTGGAGTTGGTCAACATCAATTGTGTTTTATCAATCCTGCAGTACATTTTGACATCATCCGCAAACATCAATGAGTTTGTCTCATTGATGTTTGCGGATGATGTGATCTTCAGACCAGTCCTTTTCAGTATGAATTCAATACTAAATCGGAAAAACGAGGCCCCTTTCTAAAGCACAACACATATAGCAGCCACATATTATAGGGCCTTGTAATGCATAGTCTTTTTTTTTTTTTTGTTCCACCCGTATTAAATTGCATAGGGGATGTATAGTCTCACTTTAAAGTATTGCGACTCTGAGGGAAGGCCTGTCCCAGCTGCGGTTGAGCGGAGAAGTTTGAGAGCCGAAGTCTGACCCGCGGAGGCGGAGCGTGGCTGCGGACTGCGGATGGATAGGGGGCTGGGGGGGGGGGGGGGTGGCAGTTGCCGTCCGGTAACCTGTGATGGCAGTAAGCATGTGGTCAACCTTTGTTGAGAAGTGAAAGTCAAAACATACATAAATTTCTTATGGGTGTCCCATAAATTCCTTCTCACCTAAATTTTTCTTTTAGAAGCTCTCTTATTTAAAACCACTCTTAATTTATTTTGTAACTGAGCTTTTGGGGTTGCCATGGCTGTGACTATGCTCCACTCCACGGTGACTAATTTGTCTAGACAAAACATTTTTTCCTAGACTCGAGTTCACTTCCTGTGGAGAACGCCGCAACATAGAGGTCCCCGATACGGGCACGTCTCGGTATTTAGTCCGCACGTGGGCCATTCTTACAGTCAGCAAGTGACGCCGATGATTTGTCGGGAGTCAATCGCTGCAAGTTTATGCTCTTTTTTGTCAGCTCTCAGGAGTGAGCCATGTGGCGCCAAAGTGGCCGTCAAAAAGGCCTTAGCGTTAGAAAGTTGGTAAGCAGTCGTTTCAGGATGGATTACCAGCAGTCTAAGAGTATTATTTCGGGATACAAAACTCACGGTCACTTGGACCGTAACGTAACGGTAATGGTAACGGAGGACGCAAAACAGTCGAAAATGTCTTAACACGCGCAGTGGAAGGGTTGCGAGTACTACGCCCAGTGGAAGGGGGCGGGGCGGATGGCGCCCCTCCCCCTAAGATCTCAGCTCCCAGTGGAGCTAGGAAGACGAAATTTGAAGGGTAGGTGGGGGCCCTGGGGAACTCTGTTGTGTGTGAATTTCATGACCCTAGGTCAAATGTGGTCAAATCTGCCATATGAGCGACTTTTTTGCGTTTACACGCCGATAACTCAAAAAGTTACCGACCGATTTTCTTTTTTTCTTCACTTTACAAAAGAACATACATTTGTGAGTATGTAGGGTGAATTTCTAGTTAATAAAACAATAAATATGGCAGTTAGAAGCCTGCGTAGGGTAAGATGTCGCCGGCTGAAGCGGGATCGGCGGACGCGGGAAAAGCGGCAATCACAATTTTGTGATTACACACTCATAACTCAAGTTTTTTCCCGACCGATTTTCATAATTCTTTGACCATAAGATAACCTGTACATTTCTTAGTCTTCTCACCAAATTTGGCGATGTAAAGGAGGAGCGGATGTAAAGACGGAACCGTCCCGCCCCGGCACAGTCTACAATTCAGAATTGCCAAAAATTGTGTTTGAAAATTTGACGTCATCATTTTTGAACAGTTTCTTTCGCTATAACTTGGCCAAAAAACGAGATAATAAACGGGATAAAAATAACTCTTAGGTGTGAGATGATGTTTTTTCGTACTCCAGCGTAGATCAGTGGGGGAAACTGTGGTCAAATCTTCTATTTTTGGAAGCCTTCCATTTTTGGAAGGACCTTCCATAAATGGGTATGCATTTTCCAAAAATGGAAGGCTTCCAAAATTGGAAGGTCTAATCTCAGTGTTCCCAACTGTGATTCACATTCTTTGATTTAAGTTACGGCCTTTTTAAATGTGTAACATTAATAGTTGATTTTGCCATTTATGATCATTGATATAAGGAGAAGCAGCAGTGCTAGTGTTGGTAATACAGGCATGCTATGTCAATGTACATAGTGATATAATAGCATGGTGTCCTGGCGCACTGCTCTCTTTTTCTACTTCTAGAGGACACATAGAAATTCAGAAGAGAAAACAGCTGGTCAATAACCAACCAGGAGGAACACAGCTATAGCCCTGACAAAAAATGGTTTAAATTAAACTTACTACACCTTTTTGCACTCAAAATAGGCATCTTTTCATTCAATTTCGGCGAATTGCATTCAATTTTAGCGATCTCTCATTTGCTTCGAATAGAGAGATCGCTAAAATTGAATGCAATTCGCCGAAATTGAATGAAAAGATGCCTATTTTGAGTGCAAAAAGGTGTATTCCTCATATAAATTGAAGATTCATGCTCCTTCGATAGAAAGTAACACGAAAAACGGCGCAGCAACGCCTATTTAATTCGTCCCATATTCCGGAAAAAAACATTGAAAAATGACGAGACCTCCACCCAAATGTTTGGCAAAAGCCTTAAAAAATTGAAATCAACCACACAATATGCTAATAAATGCAGAAAACGGCAACAAATACAAGTTTTACTCGCCACTACACTCCCGAAACCGCCGCACTCTGTCCAGACAATTCCGCACTGTAAATAAAGTCGGCGGTATCGAACAAGCATGGCCCGTCACTAAAGTACTTTTAAGGATATTTACTTTTCGTTTTTGATGCTTTTTGCTTACAAAATGTTTGATAAAGTCTTATAAAACCATCGTTTGTCGGTAAATTTTTGTCAATTTTCCACGACTCATTACTTTGAAAAATTACCTAAAATACATCCACGCTAGGATTTAGGCATCCACGCTAGATTATGGACACTTCACTATGGCGAATAGAAAGCGACCAGGGGCGATTGTATTGAACAATCATGAGCGATCCACATTCTGAAAGTGCGTGGCGATTACTGCTCAGAATCCGTATCCGCGGTTACTAATCTAAACATTCACAGCATTCACACATTCACTCACGTCAAAGCACGGACAGAGACACTTTCGTAGTACCACAGGTACAACTCACTGTTGGTCAGCGACGATCAGTTGATGCCCCGTCCACTATCGCGGCTTTAACAGATCGGGCGGGAGACAGCTGCGACAGCTGAGTTGGGAGACTGTTGAGTAGAGCAGCGGCTCGATAGCCGAACCGCCGCCTACCCGTTTCCAGCCGTGGTCGCGGAAGGTGAAA